GAAAAGAAGTCAGGTGAAATTTTTTGATTGAAACCTTACAATGTCCCTATGAATAATGTAAGACAACTTTAGCTGATGCATCAATTCCAGTAAATGCTAATGGGTTTTTGCCTGGAGACGCATTATTGCCGTATCCCTATGGCCTTCGAATTTTGGCAAATGAGCTCATGGATGATAGAGCTGCTATTTTAACGCAAACACGTCGCCGTCGTTACGGCATTTACGATGAATGCTGTCGACTTAAGGGATGCACATTTCAAGAGCTGGACAGCTATTGCAAGAAGGATTAATTGCTTTTGGTTCATTAGTTGATTTGAATCTAAAGAACATAAAATTATCAAAAGTGTAATCTAATCTGTCTTTATTTTGTGAAAACTTTTGATCATATTTTGTAAAAAATTTTATATGAAACAATTTTTTGAAAGTAAAATCAATTCAAAACTATTAAGAATTTAACATATGTTGAAGAAAATTTAAAGAAAAGATTCGAAAAGTATTTCTGACGCCAGTTAAAACAATAAGGAAAATTATGATCGACTCTACCCGAATTTTTTACACCCAACACCTTTATATTAATATAAAATATGCAAATATTTATTCTTGCAGTCTATAAGCAATGAGTAAAGTATCCGTTGTTTTCTTTTTAAAACCAATGTTGTGATTAGTGTACGTTGTACTGTGAGCGTGTTCTTTATTTGATTTATCCGATTTTCAAGAGCGATTTGTCTGCAAGAACCTTCAATGTTCATCCGATATTTGAGGCCGATACCTTTACGTTTACATCCAGGAGGATTTTTGTCACAGTCAGCCGGACGAACAGATAGATAAACATGCTTAAATCGATTCAGAATATGATGCTTATCAAGAGTATGTGGACGCCTATTGAGAATTTTCAAGCTTCTCTCTGGGTATTGTTAACATTTCGTGTACGCCATTTATCGATAGTGGGTATAAGATAAGATAATTTGCAAGAGAACAATCAAAAATTTTCATCATCAATTATCGGCTACAAATGTACCAACGATAGACAAGAGAGTCGACTCGACGGACAAAGGTAAATTTTATCTTAAAAAGACAATTTTAACATTGTTCTCTACGGAGCATAGAGGTATAGTAAATGTAAACAAGCGGTTAGTCCTAATTAAAATGAAAGCTACGACAGAGTCAATATGGTCGCAAAATAGATACCGCTAAGAGCAACAACATTGGCAGCTTTTTCGCACATGTAGAATCAAGTTTGTGTGCTGATAAAGTCCGTGTCTACGCTCCTACGACCTTATTTGCGGGCATTAGTCAATGTAATGAACCGAGTTTAATTATTTAGCTCGTGAAGAATTTAGCGAATAATTTTGTGGCATAATTTTTTTTTTTTTTTTTTTTTTTGATAGAAATGGAAGATTTTCATTGAATGCCATCAAAACTTTTAGTGAACTCTATCGGACTAATTTAAAAGAAAACTTCACAAGCAAAATTTTGGTTTAGCGAAGAAACAAAAGAATTTCTTCGTGAAATAAAATGCACGGACACTTGAAGATCCAAAGGAAGCATTCTTCCAAAATTTGTTAGAAGAATCAAAGAATCGTCGTTAATATATATTCACCTTGAAAGACTTAAATTGAAGGAAAAGAAACGTAGATTTATCTATCCCTTTGCTGTCGGCTGCAACATGTTTTAATTCGGATCTCTCTTAATGTTTCGAAATTTTTCTGCATGTTATTAAATATATACCAGGTGGAAGGGAAGGCCGAAAGAAATGGATTGAGAAGAAACAAATATTTTTTTTATATTCAACTACTTTCGTAGCATTTAAATTTCAATTGCACCGGTACAGAAACCAACCATGGATTTAATTCTCGAGCACTTTCCTCAAAAACTCTGGCTCACCGATAGTTGTTTCAATATTCCTTTCCAATGCTTGAATAGAGCCGGACTTAGCATTGAAGATCAACAATCCCAGGCAACTCCACAAGAAATATCCCAAAGGTGTTACATTATGTTCTCTTCAAGAATACTTAGTAACGAATTTTTAAAAAAGTTGCTTCTTCCTTCAAACATTCTTTAACATTAATCGATAACGGATTGACGGTAACGGGATCTGCATTTTCATTATCATGTAATAAGGACCGTTGACGCTACCAGCCAAAAAACCACAGCACAGGAATATTTTTCGGAATGTAAACCCGTTCACTGACTATTTTTATGGATTGGGCTTACCATAGAGATGACCACTTTGCTCCGAACCACAATACGTCGATTAGATTGATTAATTAGATTGATTTTGACCTTTTTGATATACAAGTCTTCTCAGAATAAATTCACAAAGCCGAGCAGAATCCACAAAGACATAATGACACAGCGTCAAAAATTACTTACATCATCCCTAATGAAGAAACATTTACATATATTTCCCAATATTTTTCTTGTATAAGGAAATACTTGTATAGAGTGCTTTCATGGGCTACTCATGGAGACATTGGTACGAAATCTTTCTATTTAAGAGTAGTCATCAATCTACTGCCATTTTAGGCCAAAACTTTCATATCCACCATCTTAAACGCACGGCCTAGAATTGTAAAATATTGTGGTAAATGCAGACGCGTCATGTAATCGGTGTGGATCGTCACATCTTATACCGTATGTCGTCAGTGTATGTTAGTTTGTAAAACTCAGAAGGAACGACGACAAGCATTTATTTAGGGACATATTTGTGTAACTTTTGAGCGTTGTTAGTGCGTATTTGCTACTGTAATGAAATTGCAGGCATTTTTGAACATAACTGTGGCGGACTCAACTGTTTTTGCATATACGTTAAGGTCGCAATGTCAAGAAAAAATCATTTCCTTCCAATTGAAAAACTCGTTATGTATATCATGAATTAATCCTTCGAAGAATACTCGCTATTAAAAAAAATCAATTCTTTTAATATATAATACGCACACATAAAATAAACCTTTACAAAAAAAATCTTATTTTATTAGCTCAACGTTTCGAAACATTTTTATTTCTTTTTTCTTCTCTATAAATACGCATTAATACTAATTTCGGGACAACTTGTGCTTTAGTCTTTATATTCGAATTGCATTTGCTTGCATAATTATTTATTTTTATTTAATAAAATAGTTTTCATATCCATTGATCGATCAATTTTTGGGCACAATAAGCGCGAAAACTAATTCTTGGACGGCCATTTATTAATTGCAAGACTTCATTTATCGCATGCAATATATGTCAAATAATTATTTTTGCAGCAGTGCGTATGAGCTACTTTTAAATTTGAATGTAATATTTTATACTGCTTAGAGTAAACGGATGTTTAAATGTTTGTTTCTTGGCAAACTCGTTTCATGCAATTTAACTTAAAAGTGAATGTCCGTGTGCGAATGGCTACGCTAACTCTGTTCATCCCTTCGTAACACTCATGTAAAATAAAACCCAAGAGATTTTTTGACCCTTTCTTTTTTTTTGCGATAGAAGAAGAAGAAAGAGTATAATAATGTTTTAGGGATTTATTGGGCGCTTAACTTTGAATACTAGAAGAAAAATTTGTCTTCGACAAATATTGAAAAAATGCCAGGTACAAAGAGATTCGTATCAGGCATTCTGAATAAAAAGACGCCTTTGGAAAAAATTATTGAACCTACATGCCTATAGCTAGAGGGTTACGAAAGGGTTTTTAAAAATGTTAAATTTTGTATGATGGACCGGCGTTTGAATGAAAAAAGTTCAATTCTCCAAACACTCCAGACACTCGTTTGTTAGTAGAAAATGCTTAAATTAAGCTCTCGAAAATTCTCTACGCGAATCCTATATATTACTTTAAGGACACTGTACAAAATTCGGATGAGAAGAATGAAACCGGCAGAAAGTCTTCCCGGGCCGTTGTGACAAATAGTGTTTGAGATGTCTTAACTGACATATTTTTTTGTGAAAATAAACTTTTCATTACTTCCTTTTTTAAAATCGACAATGGCAGAACGATAAAATATCTTTCCAAGATTTAATATTCCTCCTCGTTCCTTTTCTTCGAAGATTTCATGCTACCTCATGATTTCATGTGCCTCTTTTACACCTGCTCATAGTACGCAGGTGGGCTTTTGCGTACGAACTACAGTACATTATGGAACGAATTTTTGGCTTGTAACGAATCCTCTTACATACATTCTAGAAAGTTCAAGGTGTCTATTAAGCAAGAAGAATCATTATTTATTAATTCTAACTTGCATTGCATTATAAGATATTGTAAAACAAAAGTCGACGACAGCGCTCTTAGATATTTAGGCTAGATGAACAGAACACCACATGATGAAGAAATGAAATATTTACGAAATATTTACGAATTATTTGTCTTTTTAAGTGTCGCTTATATGGTCGTAGGTGCAGTTTAGCCTTAGCCCATTTCTTTTCCGGGTAGGACGTGCGTTAAATTCTTACAAAATAAATCTAAAGCAATATTAAAAAATGTGTTTGTATAATATATGTTTTTAGGTGAAGACTGCAACGAAGTCTAGATTAAGTACAATCTTAAACTAAAAGTTTATATAAAATAAAAAAATAAATAAATGAACAGACGACTGCTGTAACTTGCGTCTAATCGGTTAGCCAAAGAAACCATAAAGTGCCACAAGTAAAGAGAGAATTGTTAAGAAAACGATATCAGACTAAATTAAGTGGCAGTTAAAGAAAATGCAAATAAACTATAAGACGCCAAATTGCATAAATTCGTTAAGCTCTTAGAGCAACGAGATAACGAAACAAAGTATTTGTTATAAGAGCCTTAATGAGAACATTTTTTATTAGACCAAAGCTTTTAAGGTTTCCCAAGCTAAGAACACAACACAAAATAAAACGAATTTATTATTATGTGCTCGTAGTAATCTTTATAAAGAATTTATTTGATTTAATTCAGTTTGTTTTTAATTTTATACTTTGAGTTTTCTCTTTCAACGCATAATTGCAATAGTAATGCAAATACGGATTTTTCTAATACTTAACGGTAAAAAAAAAAAAAAAAAAAAAATTTAAAAAAAAAAATTGGAGCTTTTTACAAAATTTATTTGCAACGAAAGTTGGTTTAGTTCGAAGTTGGTTTTGGTTTGATTTTTTACAAGCAATACGATGCTAGTTCAGTATAATTGCAAGGCTTGCGACAACATTCATCGTAAACACCATGACGACGTCGGCGTGTTTTGGTCATCATATGGCCGATATCCTCGCCAAAGAGCTTATCTAGGAAGAGCGAATTGTCGTATGGATACGCAGTTAGGGAATCTTCAATTTCGTTGTCCGTATAGTCAGATAAATCAACTGAAAATGCACATTAATATTATAGGGAGAATTAGGAATATATTATACATATATAAATACCCGATTTTTTATGCATAACACTTCTTATCATGGGATTGAAACCATTCAGGCATAGGCTATCCAGGACGTCTTGTAAAGCTTTTCCGCAAAAGCGTTGACCGGCCATACTGTGTTCAGTCATCAGAACCAACACGAGTAAGCCGCAGCAAACGAATTTACATAAATTCAAATTTAATTTCATATTTAAGAAGAATCGCTAAGGGGCGTGAGCAACAAACAGCAAGCAAGACCAAAAATAGCGAAAATATATTTTTGGGAAAATTTTTTAAGTTTCGATGCGAGCTCTTTTTCGATATTTCTTCGATTTTTTGATATTCGTTTGTTTTGAATTTTGTTTAATTGTAGTTTAATTTACTAACACCTCCTAATGTCGCTTAGTTCAATGTGCTACTGATGCTGTTCATAACGGAACTCTGGTTTTTTATACTCACAAGTTCTTGCCTTTGACGCCTTAGAGCTTGTCACATTAAATTATGTTTATATATAGGGCACATACACAATTATGCATACATATATGACAATTTATAATAAATTACTGCATATTTATAAGTTCACCTATTTACATATACGCTTATGTGCGTATATGCGTATATGCATATAAGCGTATATACGTAGATTTCTGTGTATGTTTGCATTTGTGCTCCCTGTGGCGGTTTTAACGGTATTCTATCGCACGTAATATCTTTACACTTGTATTAAACATAAATAATTTTAAATATATATAATATATTATATAATATATATAATATAATAATAGTATATATAATAGTTTTAAATATATAATGTTATATATAATATATGTATATACTATATATATTTCATAAACCTTCTATGATGATGCATTTAACCGTGCAAGCGTGTGTGCGTGTATGCATGTGTGTGTGTATGTGTGTGTATAGGTGGGAGCGTATTCGCCCTAGTTTATTTTTCGCAGCTTGGCTGATTGCGACGTTTCCTGGTATCCATCCTAACCACACGATATAGAAAGCGAGACCCCGCAAAAGGATCCTTAAAATGCATCGACTTTGAAGATTTTTAGTATGACTTTTTAACCGCATTCCCCGATGCATAGCCTGACTTGGGAAGCTTCGCGACTTGACGCATGGTTGCAACGGTTAGTAGCAAGTATATATCGTCGCCGGCGGCTAATGCCTTCCATGCGTGCACACTTAACGTTCGAAACTGATCGATCAAATAGTTTTTTCTCGTTTTTCTCCTTCGTTCTTTGAATTCGAACAATCATTTAGTCGATGCCCCCTATCCGCGTAACACGGACAAAGTTGGGAAGAAGTGATCAAGAAGTGAGGAAGATAGTAGACGCAGCTTAGCGAGTGTGTGTTCAATCGGTAAGTGCCATGTCTTAAATGACGTAACCACTCGCCATAGCTACAACTAGCTCAGTGATTAAAGCATATTTTAAAAGATTGAAAACTTGAAAAATTCCGCAGTACTCTTGTATCATATCATATAAATGAAGTTTGTGAGTGCAATATTTTTAGGTTAATGGGAAATGTGTTAGAAGGCTATGGTCTTTTACAAGCGTTGATTGAAAAGCATATTTAGACACAGATCTACAGTTTTAGTGGCAATAATCATAATATGCTTAGAGCGAGCTGCCGACAATAGCGACTAATTTGTTTTATGAAAAACCGCCGTTGACAAAAAATTTGTTTAGGTAAAACTACGGATCTATAGGGAAGAGGTCACCCTAACGGAAAAGATTTGGAAAGGCTATTTGCAACGCTGTTTCCATCTTCGTTATATTCGAATGAAGAACGGCATCAAATGGATCTCTCAGAGCGGAACTAGCATCGTTTTTAATAAAAGAAAGCTGCCGTGCTAAATCGATTTATAAGAGGAGGCGAAAAGTAGAGAGCGCACAATTCGTACATTTGTCGAAAAAGTTTGGTATCAAAATATTTTGCAATGAAAAAAATTTGTTATTAATTGTTTACATTTAACCCTTAAATGCGTGAACTTTTGCACGGAGAAGTTTAAAAATTGCTTCTTATAGGAATGTAGTCGTCGGTTACGTAAGAAACAATTTTAAAAAATCCAGGTAATAATATTGTTATATAATTTTGAAAAGAAGTGGTACGTAGACTTTCGCCAACAATATGCGTTCATTGCTAAAATTATTGTGGACGTAGATAAATGGTCATCTATTTATATCATATTTATTAGTATTGGAATTTTCATATTATTTAGGATGAAATACAGCAAAGCAATCTTGCATTAAATGCATTCAGTCCGTGAAAAATCTTTGCAACCTAGAAGTTTCCGAATGCAACTTTCTTCGTTATTGCGCCTACCATCAATCCGTACATCTTTTGATACGAGAGGCTTTGTTGGACCTTGGTTTTTGTTATCTTCTATTTCCCTTTCTAAATTACTGGGCTGCTTCCCTTATATTTCCATCGTACTTGTTATATGCATGAGCATAGTGTCTCTGCATGTTCTGATTATTTTTTTTTATATACAATACCCAAGGTTCGATCACTGCCATATCAATCATGTGATAAAATAATCTGATATGCCACGTGAGACTCTTAATTCTGACTCTATACGTATCCAAAAAGATGTCCGTGAGGTCAACTGCTCCCATGCGAATGTTTAATGTTTGAATACTTTTGCGTAGCCTTTGGAGAATTCTTTCTTTTCTTATTTATCGTATCTGTTGACAGTTTCGGCTGGTCCAGAGCCGTTAGTATCCCAAGTTTATTGTATTTCGAGCATATCGCCAAAATCAATTCGTTCATAATCCGCTTGTTGTTCCTCGTAGGTTCCTCGGACGGCCAAAGTGATTCGTAAAATCTTTTACATTCGCCAATTTCGTTATTTAGATAATCAACTAGTTTTCAGTTTCAGTTATGTAACATTCGCATAGTGGTGACATTTGGCAATATCCACCAATTCTCAACAACCTCCCATGCGATAGCTTACATGATAACAAATTTCCATAAATTATTCCAAGTAACATACTGAACTCTATAAATTAGTCACCAAAAGTAATTTCAATTTTTTCTTTCGCACATTTATTTATTAAGGTTTTGTAAAAAATGAAGTAGAGCTTGTATGTAGACAAATAGCAACAGTATGTATTTGAAGGTTAGCGTCGTTAAAGCAATAGCAGTGAACCTGCGCTATAGAAATCGTTTGAGAAAAAGAAACTCCAATTTAGCAAACAAAGAGGAAGCATTCATCAAGCATCGTCGCCATAAATGAATATTTTAAAGAATATTCCGAAAATCGTTTAAGAAATATGTTTGCGTAAAATGTGTTTGATTTAAAGGACTAATAAATATAGGGTTCGATTCATGAATACATACGTATGCTGCAAAGTTTCCAATTAAGCTGGTAAGCAAAATCAGTGAAATCAATTCATGAAAATAGAATCTAATAATGGTTTTGAACATAACGTAGCACATCGGGTAATAGTTTCTGCAACTGATAAATAAAAGTCGTCTTTATTTTGAAAAAAGTAAGTAGCATCAGCCCTCGTACGAGGCACGTCGAAATCTCTCATCCTTTCGGTTATATGATTAAGAATTGCATGTGTTTTGGTGATGGTACTTTTGCTATTTACCAGACAATGTACAAGTAGCGTAATTTCATCGGTCGATAAGACGTCACTTTTTTTGCGACGCAAGAATGTATTATTGCAAGCCTTCCCCGTTACAGACAACATCCACTTGTCCATGGTTTGTTTATTTAGGAGAAAACCTTATAGGCACCAATAATGCATAGGCGCAGCAGTGATGTTTACGTCACAACACCTTCAAAAAAAAAGGATCTAAAAACTATTCTCGGTATTCAAAAGGTGAAAAGGTGAAATTGACAAAAAATAGTGGGCATCCTTAAGGGCCCAGCAATTGAGTTGCTCCATCTATTGGCAAATGCCAGAAGAATGCCCGAGGAAAACAAACAATTCAAATCACTATGGATTTTAAAAGGTTTCTTGATCGTTTTGATAAATCGTTACATAATTGCGAGTAACAGTATCGCTCGTTAATGTTTTCAACAGCTCTAGTCTTTACAATTTTCGACCGATGTTTTCGATATTATACAACAGACTATTAAATTATGAAATCAATGTAAAATTAAAAAGACATTTGAAGATTATTGAGAGGGAACACGTTTCGACTAAATTTCAATTCAAATTTAATTTTAAAATTCAACCAAAACTGATAGGAAGGAAGAATATTTTTTCCAAAAAATGTATTTCTTCGGAAACTTTGTATAGGACATGTATGTATGTATGTATGTATATATGTATGTATCTTTAAGTAGTCATAAGTCTTAAGGAATATATTTGTGTATGCGCACATATATATAGATGGACGAATCCATCGGTAATTATACTGTAAACTAATCACATTACTCAAAAGCTTATCTATATAGTTACTGAAGAATTTTCAGTTTGTGTTGGCATAAGATAAATGTTCGTATGCTGCTTGATTAACTCTCTCATGTTTTATATTTAGAAAGTATATAAGGAATGCTGAGGAGCATTTAGCTTTGATTAAATACATAATTGATTATACTTTAGGTCTGCATAGCTAAGGGTATCTCTTACTGTAATCGTTGTGCAAGTAAATTCTTCCTAAGATATTTAAGTACATACGTAACTGTATTACTAATAAAACTTTCAGTTTATATACAAACAAACATATGCATATATATGTATATATGTATATATATATATATATGCATATGTTTAAGCTAAGACATATATATATAATATTTATTTATTATTGAACTTACCAATGCGGGCTTGTGTGTATTCCAGCATTGCGGTCAGCACAATTAATCCCATGGGTATTAGGTTGATACAATTTCTCAATGCGTTAAGCAAAGCCATATTTGGTGAGTTTTTGTTATATGTTGTGTTTTCAGTTTTGTGTTACTCCCGAATATCTCGTCTTAGTTGCCGTCGAAGGTTTTTAAAGCTTTTCGCTTTAATATATAGATAATAATGACCTTTGCTGACCTCTTTTGTTTCTGATTTTTAACGATCACACTTGATTTCATAAATAAAATATTTTGAGAGTGTTTTCCTTTCTTGCTTCTTATACGTCTTTTATATTTACAAAAAAAAAAAAAAAAAAAAAAAAACAAAAAAAAAAAAAATTAAAAAACAAAAAGGAAAGGAAAACAAAACAAAAAAAAAATGGTAATATTAAGAAAGGAAAAGAAAATAAAAAGGAAAAAAAAAAAAGAAAACAAAAACGAAAACGAAAACAAACAGAAAAACTCGAAGTTATTCAAAAATACGAGTTTTATAGCATGTTTTGCAGTTCGTGCATACAATCTCGCATAACACTTTTGCTTCTATGTACGTCTATGCATATGGGCAACTGCAGCATACATTGAAAAGAAGGAGATCGAAAGCGAATGTAACAATTCCTTCGCCTTTACTCGATAATCATATTTTATCTGAAACTGAGAATATTCAGAAAGAATTAATAGGTTTTCAGCCACATGGCAGGCGAGAAACTAAAATATGCTATAAATTTTTTTTTTTTTTTTTTTGAAATTCTTTTCATTGGAATTGCCCATAAGTGCTTGTCTTCGATATGTGTACCATATAGCGTATGAGGATTTTAAATCAGCGTTTAGAATTTTTATCGTTTTGATCCTACGTGTTGTGCATTTCTATTGTATTGACGCTATATTTCATTATTTGTGTGTATTTTTTTTTTTGTTTTATTTTATATTTTTTTTTTTATTTTTTTCTGTTAAAACACACAGACACATACACATTCGCAGACACACATTCATGCACGTTGAAAAAAATGGTTGTTTTTAAAAGAAATATATAAGTATAAAAACAACACCTTTATCAGAAATGTTTACATTCCCCGGTATGTTGGTTTCTAGTTAGTTGGCTGCATATGTGAGTGTGGACAGAAGAAGACTTGCATGTCACCGGGTTGCCTGCTTTGTAAAAGTCGTCGAATTTCGTTGTAACGTGTTAAACTTTAGTTTGCTTTTCTTATATATATATATATATATATATATTTTTATTTATTTTTTTTTGTTTATTTTATGTTTTTCTTTGCAAAATTTTATTCGGCTGCGTTCTGCTTCAATAAGTTTTTGTGGATGTGGCTGATGTTTAACTTTTCTTTTTTGTTGATACATATCAGTAGAGGGCATTAAAATAAATTTCTTATTTGTATTTGTATTTCTGTATCTCGCCTTTGCAATTTTCAAACGTGCACACTCGCACACACAGGCACGCACATACATACATGCATACATACAAACGCGCGAACTAACCTATAAGCATGTGAATATAATGATGGCAGAGTGCAACGGCATGCAAGTATTTGATTTTCTTTCTCAACAATTTTTGTTTTGTGCTTTCAAGTTTTCAAAAAAAAAAAAAAAAAAAAAAAAAAAAAAAAAAAAAAACCAAAAAAAAAGGAAAAGCAAAAGAAAATCGCATACATACACATATATACGTACCTTTCAACATTGATGGCAAAATCATGCAAGTAAGTATCTATGTGTGACGTATTTTGTATTTTCCTAACACTTATATGCCATTGCCTTACACTTCACTTTAATTTCGTTCACATTTATTTGTTATTCTTCTTCCTCGATTTTTATATATATATATATTTGGCAAAACAGAAATCAGTGCAAATGTTAGCAAATTGCATATGTTTCACTTATACGCCGTTACATGTATGCATACATACGATATAGATGCATACGTACATACGTAGACAAATTCACATATACACGAAATTGGTATTCCTTCCATATGCTTTTCATTTTATAACATTTACTTTTATTTTTCCCCTCCTAGTTTTCTTTTTCCATTCTTTTTCGTTTTTGGTTTATTTTTACTCTACATTTTCTTATGTATTTTGCATCGCTTATAAGATTTTTCTTCAACTTTTATTTTAAGTTTATTTTATTATTACGTTACTATTGCTGCTGCATTTTTACACATTCTTTCCTTCTATCTCTCTCTCTCTCTCTCTCTCTCTTTCTCTTTCTCTTTCTCTCTCTCTCTCTCTTTATTTATTTTTTTTCATTTTACGTTCTTGTTTTTTATTTTTTTGTTCTCGTTTTTCCTCTCTCTCCTCTTCTTTCTAAAAAATTCTTGACATTTTCTGCACCGGGGCTGCTTATACTGTTGCCGTTGCAGTTGCTGCCGCTGCTGCCACTGCTGCTGATGCTGTCAGCTAGACTTGATATTCAGTTATGGCACAGTTTGTTTCTCAAATTTCTTCAGTTTTTATGTGCTGTTGACTTCATTTTAAATTAAATACAATTTCTTGATTTATTTCCGGAGTTTTTTAGACCATTTTGTTCCCACTTCTTTTTTTTTTTTTTTTTTTTGTTTATTTATTTTTACTTTTTTCCTTTCTGCTCCTTTCCACTTTTCAGCAACTTGTTTTAATGTCGGTTATGGTTTGCCGGATTCAATTGTTGCTGATATTTAATAAAGTTTTTGTTGTTATTGTTGTTTTCAGATACCTGTTTTCATTGTTTTAATTAAAATTCCCTGGAAATTTCCGTTCTCATGGATTTCCTCTAGGTATATATCTAAAAAGAAAGGGGAAAAAAGAAAGAGAACAAAATGAAAAACTTTTTACATTGACTTTAACATTTCTACTAAGATTTAATAACACATCCGGTGCTTGTAGCACAACCTTTCCCCGCAAATAGAAATGTGAAAAGTTTAGGCAGCACACACTGGATTGAAAGGCCATTGGACTTTTGGGTTGTCAAAACTGAACGCATTCAATTCAATTTTCTAATACTTAGTTACCTTTAAATCTCCTTTCAATTCAACTTCCGTTCAATAATAAATTAACAAAGCATAATGCAGTCAAACCGTGATTAACAAGTTCTCTCCGCCGTAATGGATGACTTTGTAAAATATGAATCTGAGGCGTTGTGTTTTCAAACTGCCTCTCGGTATATATCAAAGTGTAGGCAGATCGACTTAAACAAGCAGTAACTACGTCACTCCATCTAATTGTGTTTTAAATTAAATCAATTTAAAAAAAAAACAAATAAATAAACAAAACTGAAGATACGGACATGATGAAGCTGCCTTTGGATGAAAATACAATAACTATTAATATCGCTGGAAAGAATAGTTACGAGTTTGCCGTCACTAGCAAAAAGGGCCCACCAAATGGTCCAATAGCGAGCAACTTGATGGTTAATAACATCTCTCGATTGCGGTGTTTTCTCCATACTTGTCTTCTGCTGATTAGCGCTGGCTTGGATACTGACAGTCATATTTAGAAGATCAGCAGAAGATGTACATGAAAGGGTCGATGAAGTTTTCGCCTCGAAACCACGAAAGCTTCTAACGTGAAAGCGATCATAAGGTAAATGTTTAAAGGACATGCTTAAAGGACATTTATAGCGTTGGTGAATATTTTAATAAATTTAAATTTGATCGAAAGGCGGAAAGAGTTTATTGCTACACCTATACAGATATACATGTATATACGTATACTGTTGCAGAAAGGACTCTTAAAGCAGTCAGATAATAAGAGTTTTTGCAAATTCCACAAGAATCCATGCCTTTTTTCTGAACAAAATATCGCTGTCATTATTCTAACTTTAACGGATGATCGAAAACTAATCATGATTGTCTAAATTTTACGTAATCTCCGACATATTACAAACATTAGATGTTTTTTTATTTTTTCTGTCAGAAAAGATTCATTGGAAAATTTTAGAAATCTTTTCTTGTTTATTTTTCTTCTTCTTCTTTAGAAAAATTATTCCCGGAATGAAGTCAAAAATAAATACTTTTTGGAAGCGGTCGTTTTTGGGACAACAGAACAACAATTTACATGGAAATGGCTGCTGCCCGTTAAGTAGAGTACGCATGATATCTATTCTACCATAGCGAGCAAACGTGCGAATCCTATAATTGAATTAGCTTTATCTTTCACTGAGAATAAAACTTTGGAATGAGCACCACCATGCCCGTACAGGAATGGGCACGGTGCTGCTGAGGAAGATTTATAGGAAGACAGGGATGAAGAAGGGAAGTAGTGCGTGTGAACGTTCAATTTGAGAATGAAGACATCAGATAGGGCAGAGGAGACCACCGCTGGCAGGTTGTTGCTAAGACGGGCAGTATGGCTAAAAAATGACGAGTCGATGCAATGCATTGTGCGGCATACAAGCAGCTACAAGGCGTTTAAGTAAGAACGCTGGAACGCGGGAACACTGGAACGCTGGTCGATTCTTCTATACTAATCCACAGTTGAAATTCAGGGGTTCTTCAGGTAATAAACTTTTTTGCTCAAGTATTTCTCAACGGTGTTTAAATCATCTTTTAAGATAATTGGAAAGAACGGTTTCCACACCGAACGGTGCACGTAGCTTCAAAATTCATTACTTTTTTTCAGGGTAATCCTTTGACTCTTTTCGAAGACATGTTCTCTCTTCCCGAAATTCTTTGCTTCTTGTTTTGACCAGCCTTTCACACACGTCGTTCCTAAATAAATGCATATCACTATAAGCGCCTAAACGCCCACTACATACGCACAGTCTACAAATTTTCTTTAATTAGTTTTTATTAACATACGCAAGACTTCTTCACAGGAGCATTAATAACCCATTCAAAATTAGCAAAGTAGGGTTGTGACTAGAAACGGTAGGATTAAAAATGAATCAAGAAACCAATAGTGCATTATTAGTACACTGCCTGCCATTAAATACTAAAGAGTTCGGTTTGAAAGCAACTTCTGTCCTTGCCCAATTTATTGTGAAACAAGAACTAAGAACCATTTTCTGGTGTTAGTCATAAGCATGTATTATACAAAGTCATAGTCTCTGTGACTTTATGTCAAATTTGATGTTCATGTCAATTTTTTTACAGAACATCTTTGTTAAGTCACGAAACAGCAACAACAAAAAACCTTATGACTCGTGACGCCTCAAAGATTTGGCATCTGTAACCTCAAAAGACTTATTGTTTTTTTTATCAAAAACATTCAAAACCGGAAAATTGCTAAGGCGTTTCGATTCAATTGCCGTATTACCTGTCAAGAATTGTGTTACAGTCAATGCAGTATTTAATTGAATTATGATTGGTGAGAAGTTTGTAGAGAAGGATTGGATAAATGCTCGCGGACATTCTCTCTACATATTTTGAACCAGATTATTTTAATGATAAGGTATATCTTTCCATCAGGTGAAACTGCCATACCTCGCAGTCGAAAGACGTAAGCAAAATGGTAGAACTTTTCTAAAACAAACGAATGTCAGTTTGGTGCCATTTTTGACCAACGCCATCTGTTTAGGCTAATTATCTAGAAAGAACAAAAAAATGGGCCCTAACAAAATAGTGGCTCGGCCTACAATATCAGTAGACTTTCCTTGCCGTCAGATTGCCCCGTTCTACGTATCAATTCCAATGAACTCTACTTTGTTACTTAGATAATTTTACATGAAATTATTTATAATAAATGTTTATTAGTTTGAGCACAGAAATAAATTCTAAGATTGAAATGTTGAAGCACTAGCATCTAAGGTTGTCGGCTTTTTTTTTTTTTAGAGGTAAGCGAAAACAACATTTTTAATATTTAAATCTGTTTATGTCAATTTTTTATTCATTCAACTTTAATAATGAAATAAAGCAGTTAAGCTTTAACTTTTTCAAATCCATCAAACTCGTTGCTGTGGGCATCCCCAGGTGTCCGTTAGAACAGTCTAGAGAATTGTTGTTTCCGTATTACTTAGTTTCTTCTTTTTACTGCCTATTAACTGTGTGCCGTTTGCATAGAAGTTGATAGAGAAACTGAGGAAAGTAAGAAAAAAAAAGTTCTTATGGAGAAAAAAAAATTTATTTTTTCTTGTTTTAGTTTGAAGCAAACTTTTATAATCACCATCCGTTGTAGTGCATGCATCTGACCCTAATTAGTTTATTAATATGTATTTGAATATTAAACCTACATAAGCAAGGCCAGACAGAAAACGGATTAATTTAAAACGATGATCGATATTAAACTTTCATGTTGCGTATGCTCGGTGAGCTTTTAAGTTGTCAGTTGCCTTGGGTTATATGAGTTTGTGTTAAGTTACGACCGTCGGGTAAATTAAACCATTCACGCTCATAATCCTCTTAAGGAAATCGAAAAACTTTAACAGTAACTTTCGTTCTGCATTTAACAATTAATGCAATCACTGCCTGTTAACAACAAAATCATACAATTTCGACTAGAAAATCGCACAAAGTCTTTATTCTAAGCACTAAGGACTAAATGATGATGATGATGATGATATCAGAAAACGAATGTCACTAAACGCAATTATCATAAGCGTGATTGTCTTGATAAGCTTGAGAGTCTATTTGCACAGAATTTAATAGAGAGTGAGAGACAGAGCTCACGATACCGGAAAGAAATCGAATTCAACAACAGCATCCAATTGGATTTTCTCATTTCGTTTGCCTTCTTGAGTTATGTGTGATCACACATACATGACAATGGTAAACTTAATCTCTCCGCGAATACTCGACGATTTGGATTTCTTCTGACGTCATCAGCTTCAATTAACTTTCCGGAAAGTATTGCATCTCTAAGATCAAATTCGCTGGAACGAAATTTGACAAACGATAGGTATTTGGTCAACACTTCTTCTTCTTGAATAACAAACCCAGTAACTTTTTTTTTTTGTAACAGCATTGTCTCCTTTTTGGATAGAAAAAGAAGTGAAATGGATCGAAAATGCTGCTTTCGACTCTCCATTTTGGCTAAGCTAAGCATAAAAAACTACTCACTATGTCAGTTGCTAATTGCGAACTTGGCTCTGCAAAAGCACGGTTAAGTACTCTGTTGAGAAAGAAATGCCATAGCTTTCAGAACAACTGTATATCTTTAGCCAGAGTCTCTTACGAATTTTACTTTGAAAATGTCCCACAACTAGTTACCTAACAAGCAGCAAACACTAGATTCAAAAATATCTGTTTCTTCAGCATGAATTCTGGAACTGAACCGAAAGAGTATCCACACGACCACCACATTGCTCAGATTGCTATGCTAAAATATCTTAAAGGCCTATAAGATCTCATTGTTGCGACAAAACAAGGCAGAGAAGCGTACGAGATATAGTTGATATCAGTGGATTATTCGGAAAATTGTATACTAAAAAGTCTGAGTTGTTGTAAGCGAAGTGTGCTAAGCGCCAGGGGTTGAATAAAAGATTCTATTGATTTGCTCAGGATAACTGAGAGAAATAGAACTTTATGGTCAATGTAGGTGTTTTATACCCTACACTAGACTAATCCATAATTCATAATATCGATTGATTCAGAATCACTTTTTGCTATGACTTAAGCGTGTCTGTCCACCTGGTCCATTTGTGTTCGATCGATATGACACGAAATTTGGACAAGTCTTTCTATAAAGTAAGTCGGGGTAAATATGGTATTTAACGGCCCTGCGTAACCCATTCCATTTGTTAATTCTTTAATTCATTTAAAAATATTCTAATCTCGAGAAGCTTGAATATATGAAATTAATTAATTTTTTTGATTAACTCTAACCTCTATCAGCGAAGCAATATTAATA